GGCCCACCTCCTGCCAGCACACGGCCTGGTTGGCATCTGGGGGGGGTGGAAAGCCACGGTCATGGTGAGCGGGACGCGTGCCCGAGTGCACACGCATAACCCCGTACGAGCGTGCCGCCCGGCGGGGCTCACCCAGGGCCTGGCTGTCGTTGGCCACGCAGCGGCGCTGGGAGGCGTCCAGCACCAGCGGGGCCTGGCAGGAGCAGTAGTAGGAGCCCACGGTGTTCACGCAGCGTCCGCCCACGCACGCCTCAGCCTCCTCGTCCTGGCACTCGTCGTTATCTGGGTCCACGGCACAGGGGAGCGGGATCAGTAGGTCCGTGTCACCCATGCCAGCATGTAGGGTCGGGGTCGGGGTCGGGGTTGGGGTCAGGGGTCTCACCCACGCACTCCAGCTGCTCCCTCTCGTAGTAGTAGCCGCTGGGGCAGTAGCAGGCGTAGCCGGGCACCTTGTTCACGCACACGCCGCCCATGCATGCGTGCGAGCCAAACAGCACGCACTCGTCCACGTCTACACGGGGGACGCGTGTCAGCCGCCCGTCCCGAGAGTCCAGGACCCCTCCCCTCCACCCCCCCTTGGCTGCACCCACCTGCGAGGGCACCATGGGGTCCGGAGGCCACGATGCCACCGATCCCGGGGCACAGGGCCTGGTACTGCGCTGGAGCAGGGTAGAGGGGCGTCAGGGAATCTCCTCCCCAGAGCCCCCTTCTCTGCTGGCCCCGAGCCAGGGAAGAACCCAGGCGACCGGGTGCCCGACCGCCCACGCGCCGACCTGACCCAGACTGCCCTTCCGGAGCCAGAGACGGACCCAGGCGTCCGGGCTCCCAGCTGCCCGCGCTCAGACGTGCTGGCTGCCCTCCCGCAGCTGGGGAGGAACCCAGGCGTCCAGACTCCCAGCTCCCCCGCTCAGACCCAGACTGCCCTCCCAGAGCTGGGAAAACCCAGCCGTCCGGGCTCCCAGCCTCATGCTTAGCCTCGCCGGCTGCCTTTCCGGAGCCGGGGAAGGACCCAGGCGTCCGGGACAGACCAGAGGCCGAGCCCTCCAAGCCCCCCGTACCTGAGCCGCGGGTGGGACAAGGCCGCGTGCTGCACTCGGGGCCCCAGCCGCCGCCCAGGGTGCAGCAGCACTCCTGCCGTGTGGTGTTCCAGGCCAGCAGCCCCCCACAGCCCTGGCGGTAGCACTCCCGCCGTGCCCCCTCCCCAGGCACCAGCACCGGCTCCAGCTCCGGCTCGGGCTCCACCCGCAGCTCGGGAGGCTCTGGGCGGCTGGGCAGAGCTGCAAGAGAAAGAGAGAGGCAGGGCAGGGACACAGCCCCCACGGAGCCCCACTCCAGGCCAGGCGCAGCCCCCCACATCTGCTCCAGCACTGCCCCACAAGCCCTACCGGCGCCAGGGGGGCGGGTGCAGCGCCCCGTCATGGGGTCGAACTCCTGGTCGCTGCTGGGGCAGAGGCAGAGGAAGGAGCCCTCCACGTTCTCGCACAGCTCGGCCCCGCATACGCCCTGCAGTGTCTCACACTCGTTCACGTCTGCAGGGTGGGGGGGGCGGTGATCACGGTGAGCCACAGCCCTGCTCCCTCCCCACAGTTCTTCCCCTCGGCCCTCCATGGTCCCATACCCTGGCAGTGGTGCCCATCGCGGGTGGTCTCATAGCCCTGGTCACACAGGCACTGGAAGGCGCCGGGCAGGTTGTGGCAGACAGCGTGGACCCCGCACCGTGTCCCATTGGCACACTCGTCCACGTCTGCAATGAGCATAGCGTTCGTCAGCCAGGACCCGGCGTGTGTGGGGACCCTGACCCCAGTCTTGTGGCCGTTGATCTCCCCCCTACCCTGCCAGCCATGGTCCCAGCCCGTGCCTGTGCCACAGCAGGCACTCACCGTGACACTGGCTGCCAGGGCCAGGCTCGTAGCCGGGGTCACAGGGGGCCACGCAGCGGTAGGAGCCGGGCAGGTTCTGGCAGCGCTGGGCGCCACAGAGGTGCGCCCCATAGGTCTCGCACTCGTCCACGTCTGTGGGAGACACGCTCAGGGCCCAGCCGTGGTGGGGGGGACACGGCTGGGAGCCCAGAGCTGGAGGGACGTGGTCGGGGGCAAGTGGCCAAGGAGGCATGGCCAGGTACCACCATGCAGGGGCCCTGCCCCCACCACATGGTAGGCACTCACCGTGGCACTGGCCATTGGAGCCGGCTTCGTAGCCAGGGTCGCAGTCAGCCACACAGCGGTAGGAGCCAGGCAGGTTCTCGCAGCGCTGGGCACCGCACAGGGCATCCCTGTAGTCCTGGCACTCGTCCACGTCTGGGGGGGGTGGCGGTCAGCGGAGGGGGACGCACAGGCATGGGGCAGCCATGGGACCCCAGCATCCAGGCCGCCTCCCCGCCCTCCCACACTCACCCTGGCAGTCGGTCTTGTCAGGGCCGGCGCGGAAGCCGGCCGGGCAGTAGCAGTCGAAGGAGCCCTCAGTGTTGACGCAGCGGCCACCCTCGCAGGCCCCCCCTCGCCGGCACTCATCCACGTCTGCAGGGAGACAGTGTCAGCGGGGCCAGGCCCCCCCCACTGGTAACCTGGACCCCCAGACCCATCCCCCGCGGCGCTCCCCACA